CTGCAGCCAGAAAGCAGCAGTAATTTGCTCTCCTCTGCCTGGGACTCAGTGCATCCCTGCACATCCTGATGCTTGGAGAGCTCTGCAGACCCAGGTCTTCGTTCACAGCTACGCTTTGCTTCCTCCAGAGCACCAGGAGCAGGAGATGCTCTCCAAAATCTCAAAGGTGGATGATGACATGAGAAGGGCTTTGCCCAGCCGGCTCCCTGGCTCCGGAGCACCATGGGAGCAGCTTGAAACAGCAGACACAGGGAGCCGGGTGAGGGGGATCTGGGTGCAGATCTTGGTGTTTCAAGGAGCAGAAAGCACTGTGCAAACATGCTGAGATTCAGCTGCTGCTCTCCATTTCAAAACAAGAAGGCCAGATCCTGGCCCGGGTGCGGTGAAGGGATGCAGCTGTATTGAGCAAGAGCAAAGGGGAGTTTTGTGTCCAGCCCAAATCCTGGCAGAGCCGAATGCTCAGCTGAACCCTCTCCTGGGAAACCTGGACTGACAGACTCTCCCTGACAGACCATGCTCCACATGGATGCTGAGGGGTGCTTCTCCAGTGACTAACCACTGGGCAAATGCAGCAGTGCTTGAGTGCCAACTCCCAGCTGCAGAAGTGGAATTAAGTGCGTGCACACAGAAAAAAGAGGTTTTGGGAAGGTGCCTCAGCCAGGACTCTGGCAAGTCACTGCTTCAAAGTGCTCATGGTCACTGGGTCGGACAGCTCTGTGCCGCTGAAACACGGCTGGCCAGGGACAGTGTGTGCTGTGCCCACAGCGCTGCCGGGCATGATGGACCCAGGCCACTGTGGGAAACGGCTGGCGAGGAAAGGAATTGATAACACCCGTGCCAGTGGCTGACGTGCTCCAGTTGCTGCCTGAGTAACAGCACAGAACAGTCACAAACTGCTGCTGCTACAACAGGACCTCATCAGGCCACAACAGCTCCTTTCCCTCAGGTGATCCTGACTCAAACAGCTCCGAAATACCCATCTACAGCCAAACAACGGAGAAGCAGCAGCCGTGCCAGGTTCACCATCCAGATGAGCTGTGAGATCTACAAAACACTCCGAGATCCCTCACTTCTGCCCGCCCAGGCGAGGACGAGATCCAGGAGCAGGCATAGTGCTGTGTGACAGCCAGGATGGCTAGGAACAAAAGATGGGGTACCTAAGTAATAAGGGCAGAACCCTGAATCCCACGTGTTTCTAGAAGACAGGCATGCATGGTGGCAAAAGGGAAGTTTACCAGAAAAAGAAGTGGGGGTGGCTGGAATTGCTTCCAGAAGATTGACCAGAAGCTGCAGAACCGGATAGAAACCTCACGGCACTCCCGGGGCAGCACAAGTGCGAGTGCAGAGCTCTGGTTCCGCCTACCAAGTCCTGATGGGAAGATCCTCGTAGCTACCGGTGAACAACTAAGACTAGAGCAACTCTGTATGGTGTAGACAACTTCAATGCAAACACAATCCAATGCCTAAGTACATATAAGCTGTGGTAGACTTCATAAAACCCATGGTAATGCAGAGAAAAATGAAAGACTGGGAGGGCATTGCCCTTCACTTCCAGACACAGCGATCGCTTCTGGCTTGAACTCCACCAGGACAAACTGCTGGGGGCAGTGCTGGGTGGGAAGAGTCCTTGTGTGGAACGGTGCCCCAAGATGAAAGTGCAGAGGGAACGTGGCTGCAAGACTGCTTCTGTGCAGGTCTCAAATCTTACCATTGCAGGGTCAAACTCGCAAGAGGAGCACGGACATGGGACAGGGGGAAGGAAGAAGGGCTGGGGCAAAGAGTTACTCATGCTTAGACAACCTTTCCTTGGAGGAGCAATCAGGCCTACCATCTTCTTTGGAACAAACCA